GACAGATTTGGTCGTATGTGTCTCCTTGTCTACATTTCTCTAATTGTAAACTTCAGAATTTAAAAAGAGACTTTAGTTTGCGACAGAGAAAAAAAAAAGGAAATAAAAAGCCTTTAGTTTTGTTAACACTACAAATGGATTTGTTGGTAAATAATTTTGTATACTTTTACCCTAAACATTTGATCGAAACTAAATTAAATTTTTACTTTGCATTGCAGATAAATTTAGTTAAACCGTCACTTCTCAACTTGTTGTCTCGGTTACAAAGTGCAAATTAATTGTTACTTTAATCGCAAGGCACAAGAGATTTGTCAACTTGTATGATTATGTTTCCAAAACAAAAAAGCGACTCACACAAACGCATGTGGCCAGCGTTAAGCGTTTGCGGTTGACCTAATCGCACTACAAAGCTAAAGACAAAACTCTTTTCTTCACTAGTAGCGCAACTGACCTGCAGTAGCTTAGTTCTCGACTTCTCGATGGTTCGAGTTAGATTTTCTCAGCGACCGGTCGTGATTCAGCATTGCGCTTACGCTTTCAACCACAAAAACGATCTGTAAAACCCCAAAGAAACACGCAAGTCGGTTTTAGTCAACAAACCCAAAACTACAACATCCTTTGATCAAAAACTGATAATTTTCATACACGGATATAAGCTCGAAATACTGAATAGAATACTGAATTTGGAAATGGATTCAGGCCTATATTTTACCTGAAAGCACGCATAGCCAATAGCGTTTCCAAAGTAGAAATTGGCGTTTCCAGTACCCTGAAATGAAGAATCAAAATAGTTGTTGTTCTGAATTTGTGATTCACTGGAACATTTGGTTGCGAATTTTGTGACAAGTTAGATTATGGATTTGAGTTGAAGATTATTACCCGCCATATCCACAGGTTGTGCATCACGGGGCTGAGGAGCGAAATGCCGAGATATCCACAGAAGAGGAAGTACGAGAACTTCATGTCTATGCGAAACAAAAGCAGCGTTTAATTATATGCAAATGCTAAACATTGCGATGGAGAATGTGAAGTATTTGCTTTTACCTGTTAACTCATTAACAAATAATGACCATAAACTCAAGTATAAAGCTGCATCTCCAACCTAAGCGAGGTTAAGTCAAAAAGAAAGAACGCATTTTCAGCACTTACGTATATGATTCTTCAGAAAAAAATAATATAGAGTTCACATTGAACTAAAGTACTTACTGAAGGGTAAGATTTAAGAATTGAGCAGATCGCTAGGTATATGAAAGCCAGGAAGCAGGGCCGATGTTTCAACCGTATGGCTAATGGCAGTAACAGAAACAGGATATTTACGTGGAAAACTATCAGGAAAAAGTTTCTGAAGAAGTCGAAGACTTCTGCAAAGAAGTACCTGAAATTGTAAGGACGATCAATACTGTTT